CATGGATCTGAAAAGCAGGCTCATATACTTCTAGGGCAATTTAGTCTAGGGCCCGTTAGAACAATCCTGTCAGAATACCACATTCTTACACCAAGAATATTTTAAGTCCTTGTGGTATGAGTGGACACTGATTTGGTCTGTGTGAAGTGTGATTTGCTTAATGTGACCTGCTCTTCTGAATTTGTTTACAGGAGATCGAAAAGATCAGAATGAAGAACAGAAATGCAGAGACAACAAAAATAAACTTCTTATGAGTCAAGTGGCCTACTACCTGGGCTGCCAGCTGAAGACAGAAAGTAAGTTCTATAGGTTCACTGTCACGAAAGTGCTGAACAATGTCCTGTCTTCTTTCTGAGAAATGATACACTCTCTTTTTCAAACTTAGTTTCATTCTTCCCATACTTCTAGGAAAATAGCAGTGGGTTTTTTAACATTTAGTTAAAGATGGAATACAGAGGCCAAACTATTTAGCAACCTTTCCATGTCTACAGTAAGGTGGGTGTGGGACTAGGGTTAAAATCCCAGCTATTGATTCCTAACACAGGCACAGAACCACCTGTTCTTCTCAGCAAGAGGCTAAATCATGTTTACAGGAATCTTCTCTGTACCGTATAAGATCCTGCAGAACTCATAAACAAGATAATTATAGGAGGGTTTATGTCCTGGCTTCAAGGTGACTGAGTAGCTAAGAAAAGTTGACTTTAAGGAGATCAAGAGTGGAGATGAGAAGAGTAAAAGCGGGGAAACGACATCTTCAAATCAACAGGCAAGGCTGTCAGTGACATCCTTCAGTCCCGATTGAACAAATTTGATGTCACCAGTTTCTAATCCATTGTGTGTTTGGGTTTCTTCTCTCCAGTCCCTGGCTTTCTGTGTTCTGCCCCAAACATCAGCAAGGTGGCATCTGACAGGCCTCTTTCCAGAAAAAACACAGAGTTGAACATTCCAGAAGGCATTGAGAAATCCTGCTTCGAACAGGAAGATAACAAACTGAATATTGGAGTCAGTAAAAATAGACTTCTTATGACTCCGGTGGACTACTCCCTGAACTATCGGCTGAAGACATACAGTAAGTCCTACAGGTTGACCACCATGAAAGTGATGAATGATGCCCTGTCTTGTCTGGAGAAACTAAGCGCTCTCTTCATCAAAATTAATTTCATCCTTCCCATACTTGTAGAAAATAGCAGTGGGTATTTTAACATTTAGTTTAAATGGAAGACAGATGCCAAAATATTTAGCAACATTTCCACATCTGCAGTAAGGTGGGTGTGGGGCTGGGGTTACAATCCCAGCTATTGATTCCTGACCCAGGCACAGAACCACCTGTTTTTCTCAGCAAGAGGCTGAATCCATGTTTACAGGAATCCTCTCTGTACCATATAAGGTCCTACAGACAAGCAGCATCTAGTCTGCTGGTCTAAAGGTTTGAGGCTACTGAACTTCCATGCAGTTCTGCTTTCTGCTAAAGACCCAGTAGGCAAAGCTGTGTTCTGGGGACCCTGGGGGAAACACAGTGATAGCAGACATTACCCCCTGTGAGTAGCTTAAAGGGGACCCTGTTCCTAATAGAACCTGTGGTATCTGTAAGTGGGAGTACCCTGGTACTGGTGCCTCAGCCTGCCAATTATCTGGGATCCCCGGTGGGCACCACCACACCTGGCTAATTTTTGTACTTTATGTAGAGTCAAGGTTTCAGCATGTTGACCAGGCTGGTCTTGAGCTCCTGAGGTCAGGTGATCTGCGTGCCTGGGCCTCCTATGTTGCTTGGATTCCAGGTGTGAGCCACCATGCTGGCTCCACAGATTCTTTTTAAAGTAAAGGTTGTTAGAATGCATCCATCGGTCCAGTATCCTATATAAATTTCTCTAAACATTCATTGACCATGATATATGATGAGATAATTAATATTGCAGCAACCCTTCTGGAAAGTAGTTAGGGCAATTTTTGAAGATTTTGGGGGAAAAGCTTTTAATTGTTTTCACTGACTTATGAAAGTCAGTGACTTATGACAGATGATTAATGTCTACAAGATGAGAGAGATTTTGTCCCATGGGCCTGAAAAGCAGGCTCATCTACTTCTGAGGTGACTTAATCTAGGGCCCGATAGAACATTCCAGTCAGAATATCACATTCTTACACTGAGAAAATTTTATGTCCTTGTGCTATGACTGGACACTGATTTGGTCTGTGTGAAGTGTGATTTGCTCAATGTGACCTGCTCTTCTGAATTTATTTACAGAAGATTGAAAAGATCATGAAGAGGAAGAGAAATACAGATGCAGCAAAAATAAACTTCTTATGAGTCAAGCGGCCTACTACCCAGGCTGCCGGCTGAAGACAGAAGGTAAGTTCTATAGATTCACCGTTACAAAAGTACTGAACAATATTCTGTCTTTGCTCTGAGAAACTGAACACTCTCTTCATCAGAATTTATTAAATTTTTCCCATCCTTCTAGGCAAATATAAACGGCTCCCTTAACATTTTGTTAAAAATGGATGAGAGAGGCCACAGTATGTAGCACCT